TTTTAATTGTTGTGGAGGTCTACTAAACACTTGATTTGATTTTTAGGATTACACTTCTCTTTCCAGGATTGCAAAACACATAATCATCGTGCAAAGCTCGTTTCAGTGTGGTTTAGCTGTTTGCTGTGCTACCACTGGGAAGAAAAAATACTAAGAAATACATCCTAGATTTTTCAAAATTTTTCACATGGAAGGAGATTTTTATCATATGCCTTGACCTCTTCTTCTGTTGAATATTGCACGGCATCTTCTCTGACTTCTTAGAGATTACAAGGTTTAGTATACAGCTGAATGTACAAAGCCTGTAGACTTGCTGACATTCAGCTGAACACTAATGCTCTTTTACTACAGCATTTTGTTCTGAGTATCCCTTTTCATTAGACATTTTCATTTTAGAAATTCTCAAAAGAAAAGTGCTTAAAATACAAGAGTGCATACGAAATCTCAACTTGGAGTCACCAGAGTATATAATACTAAAAAAATTAGCCTTTAAAATAAGAAGCAGAAATTCCACTCTTTAGAAAAAAAAAATATTTTCTGAGAGTTTCTGTATTTTAGAAAAAATATCTTTTCTGAGATAGAGAGTCAGGTAGAATCTGCACATCAGAGCAGATGGATCAATGTCTTCTGAGTTGGTCTAATTTCCAGGTTAAGTTACTCAGTAAAAAGCAGGAATGATCTAACGATCTCCATGAGACAGTTCATTTAGCCATTCTTAAGAATACATTGCCATCTGGTGTACAAAATTTCAAATTTCTTTATCCATTTTACTATTCAAAATCCAATATCCTTGGGCAGAAGACTTCAATCATTTGATTCTAACTTTCTGAAATCAACCTTTTGACCTGAATGATCTAAAAACTATTGTACTTTCCAATGCAATTGTTTTGTAAAGTGTTTTTGGACATTTGTGAATTCACACTATGGAAATTACATTTAAATTGCTAAGGAGATTATTTACGTGGCTTTGGTTCCTTTGGTTAGCTTTGGTGGCTGAAATACCTATCTTGTTTTATCTCTAAGCTAAGAGAGGAAATCAAACATAATCCTAGAAAAATAAATTGTGTTTATATTAGTAAGACAGGCACTGTACAGAGGTGCAGCATCTTTACTGCTTGTACCTTGTGCAAAGGGAAGTTTAAAAAACAAAAAGCAGATCTTCATCCCAGACAGATTTTAGAAGATGTTTCAGCGATTTAAATGAAACAGAGGTTTGATTCCTAATTTCTAGCTTGATTAAAAATCAGATTTTGAGTAGATACTTTCATTTGGTCTCACAATAAGAAACTCTGAGTTTGTATTGGATTTTTAGTATATGTCTTCAGATCTTTCATAATCATTGACTAAGGGCCATTATGGTATTATGAAAGCTAGTAAAACTGGCTCCTCAAATATTATGTTTGTCACATGGTAGACATCATAAACATTTTTCTGCTAAAAATATTAGCAATCAAAAAAAAAAAAAAAAGATGCTTTGCTTAAATACATACATTTTCCTGAAGTGTAAATTAAATTCTAAAGTCTCTTAAAAGCAAGCAAAAACTCACAGCTCTCTGATCCCCATTTGCATCCAGTCTGATGAGAAATGGAGCAGTCACAGAGTCACAGAATGATCTGAGTTGGAAGGGACCCACAAGGATAATTTTAGGATTGGTTCTGAATTTCCATGTAATGAATTTTTTTAATTATTCTAATGAAGTTTTCAGAAGTCACTTTTTTTTTTTTTTTAGCAGTTGATTTCTAGTTTGGATAAATTTAATTTAAACTAGCTGAGTGACTTTCTAACAATGGCACTATACATGCTGCTCTGTGCCTCTACAGTGTCTGTCTGCTACATTGGAGTCCAGCTCTCCTTGGTCATGAAACACTGCCGTGCTAATAAACATGTTTAGTGCTAATCTTTCTTATCTTGGGTTTCTGAGGACCTCTTTTTCTCTTCTCATGGAATCTGAGGAACAAACACATGAGGTTACTGGGTCAGGCTCTAGTTCTTCTAACAATGAACTTTGATTTGTTTAATTCATCTGTCAGGATTTGTTTGGCTTTACATAATTACTTCCAGACTTATCTGTGATAACTTAATGGCTTACTTTTGTTGTGACCTTTTTGGTAAGGTTGTATATAAAAAAAATTCACTGATTGCTTAAGAGGATGTGGGCAGTACTATAAAAGACATTTGTTTGATTAAATGGTAATTAAAAAGTGAATGTAATTAAAAATACAGTTATGTCCAGCTCTTGTTCAGTCTGACTCTTGTGGAGCTTAGAGGTCAGTTTATGCTCTTGCTTTTAGTGGTTATTACTATTTATTATGTGTATGCTGGAGTAAGAACTGCATCAATAAAAAAACTGCAAAATAGTTATTGCAATCCCTTGAGAAAAAATAATTGTCTAAAGTAAACTTCTAGTGAATTGTATTTTTAAAATTCTGCCTATTATTTATCCTGAAATTATTTGCTGCAGTTAAATTGGAACTCATGGTAGAAAGCTGACCCTTAAAAAGATGGCCATTTCCAACACAGAGAAATGTTTTGGCACATGCTGCAGAAATTGAGTTGTCTTGATTTTAGTAAGTTCTCTTTTTGGTATAATTAATTCTTCAAGGGAAACTAGTCCCGGCTCTGTATGAGAATATAATGATATGGTTGCACAAGTGTGGGAAGACAGAGGTTGTTTGCACTTTCTGATGTAAGGAAGACTCCCTAGGTCCCCATCTCACTATGACATCTTTCTCTTATCCCTGTTAAACTATGCTTTGAACCTCATTGCTGGTGAATCAGGAAAAACAAGGAGGAAAACTTAGTGCAAATTAGATTTGATTAGTTATAAATGTAAATAAGAAAAATTAAAGCTGTTTGATCAGGCAAAAGAATCAAGAAAAAACATCAGTTTTAAGATCAAGTATAGACCTTTATTTCTGCTTCATCAGAATGATTTGCAACATTATCTCTAATGCTATGATCACATTATAATTTATAAATGAGACAGCAATCTCTTTTTTTCCAATATACCCATACCAGATTAATCAAGACATAAATGGATGCATTTTATTTTCTCTCTTGACTGCCTTTTCATCTGGGACAGAAGCTAAGGGAAGCCATGAAGTCTTGATTTCTGTTTCCACACTTTTCTTCTTGGTCAATTTAAATACATTTTAAAATTCTTACCTTGTGAAGCTTTGCAACATATCAGACACAGTTACAATATTTATATTTAACAATGCTCTCAGGGAAATAGAAAATTGAAGTGACATGTTCATCTAGAAGAATTTTGCATAAATTGAAAGAACTTCCAGATCATGGAATAAACTAGTTGTTGTTATTATTTTGGGGTCTTTTATCTGTTTGTTTGTTTTGTTTGGTTATTATTTTTTTGCTTCTACTTGGTTTTCAGGGGAAAAATGTTTGTAGCTTCTGCCTGTTATTATGTTATTTGAGAATAGTAAGTATTTGTACTTCTCTCCTAAAGATTTGTTAGCCTTGAATAGCAAGCTTGTTCAGTTCAGTTATGTTTGGATGTTTAACCAAATAAAAGTCTTAATGGATCTGAAAATAATTAAAATAACAGTATTTTTTCTACAGACTGTATGCTGAAATTTTATTCCCTTTTGTGTTTTGCTAGCAGTTTTAGCTGTAAATTCTTCTTGATCTATATCTTTAAGTAACTTTAATATTATAGTGCTGTTCCTAATCTTCTGTGCTAGTGCCAGATCTAGACCTCTCCTCATCTATATTTTTATTTCTTCTGGAGTTAAAGTCCTAATTCAGGCCAGCTGCATCAGTAGCTGATGTCTAGGTTTTTTTGCCAATGAAAAATAGCAAATAACGAAAGTGCTCACTGTAGATGTGGGAGATGGACAGTTGAATGTCTGCTCTAAATCAAGCATGAGCTGTGCCATCTGTAACAGGTATTCACACGCCAGATGAATCTCCCAAATATTTCTGTGCTGACCTTTGGCTCTTAGTATGCTGTGAACAAGTCCATAGCTTTAAGGTCCACTTACAGATTGGGTGTTTTCTATAACATAACATCTGTAAGTGACAGTAATTGCAAATTGCTTCAGAAAATTTCCTTGTGGAAAGCATACCTATCAGTATGATTTTGAGAGGACAGCAGCTTTGGGATATAAGCTAGTGCAGCTTTGGCTGTCCCTTCCTTTTTCTCCCAGTCCTGTTTTCTGATAGAAGAAATATGTGACGTGAAGTTCAGATGTCAATATAGAACAGTTTGCTTCATCTCTTCTTTCCCATTGGCATGCAGGGCAGTTGGGTCATCCCCATCTGAATGTTTGATGTGTCTGGTGTGCCTCCACTGAATCTGCTTGCCCCCATCTGTACATGGGCACTTGAAACAGAATTGTTCCTGTAGAGCTGTAGAGCTGTGGAGCACACAGGAACTTACAGACTTAAATTCAGAACAGGGATCTTCAGGTGTTTTTCTTGCCCCTGTTTCAGAATTAGAGAATTGACAAGATGGCCACAGAGAAGAGATCTGGATTCTGCTGTCATACCTGAGGCAGGGATGTTTTATCACCCACAAAAAAAGTAGTTCAGCCAGTACATTTGATTTTTTTGTAGCTCTTTCCTACATTTGTTTGCACGATTTAGAGTAAATGCCTGGACCATTGTGTTTCTTAAAACACAATGATTTCTTGAGCCAGACAGGAACAGTAAACAGATATTTCCCTGATGCTTTTAGTTACTAGTTCCCCGTGGAGGAAAAACAAATAATGCAACCTTCACATGTATGGTTAGCTTTATGCTAGGATTAATTTTATTTTTACTGCAAAAACCTTCCCACACAGTATATATTATTTCCTTTACTGCTACTTCCAGTATTATAAAAGACAGTGAATTACAGTCTAGATTGGTATTAGCTCCTCCAGACACCAAGACTGCCAGCGAGAGCAGCAGAGTTCCATGAGGGGAGGCCGGGGCTGCCCCAGCCAGACACAGCCGGTTCCAGCCGGACACAGCCGGTTCCAGCCGGACACAGCCGGTTCCAGCCAGACACAGCCGGTTCCAACCAGACACAGCCGGTTCCAGCCGGACACAGCCGGTTCCAGCCGGATCCAACTGCCCGCCACAGGGTGCAGGTGAGCCATGGCCAGGGCGGGATCCCTGCAGGGAAAGGTACTCAAGAAGGGAGAAAACACTGTGGGACATCCAGGGGAGCCGGGAGATGGGGAGAGAGGCAGAGGAGGGAGCAAGGAAAGGACAACAGAGGGAACACACGGTCAGATTAGGGGGTACACTATGGCAGAACAGACACACCCCAGGGGCACTCCAGCCTATGGAGGGGACATGCCAAAGCACGGGAAAACTGAAAGAAGGATGTATTGGCAGAGAGGAACCGCTGTGAACTGACCCCCGTGCCCTGTGCCATCCATCACCTCCTCTAAAGGCACTGAATGGACCTGAGGCAAGAACATGGAGACAGAAAGGACTAGAAGGAAGAAGTGACAGGGGACCAGCTGTGGGAGGAGAGGTACCTGAAGAGGAGCTGAGACTGGGGGAGCATGATGGGTGTTTTTTTCCCTTTTTGTATTTTTGCCTTTCCCCCATGTTTTCTGGACCAGTTATTAAATAGTTATTTTAATTGACATTAAATTCCCCACATTGAATCTGTTTTGCCCATGACAGTGCTTGGCAATCAGTCTCCCTGTCTTCATCTCAATCCATGAGATGGCTTTCTCACTCCAGTTTGTCCTATTCTGTCCCTGGTCCTGCTGGCCTGGGGGAATAAGCATGGAAGTGTGTGTGAGGGTTGGGGCCAGCCTGCCATACAAACGTTTTGCTAATGGCTGTTGCTGTGACACCAGGCAGGATCTCTTACACCTTCATCCTGTGGGTGTGGCCTTGTGAACAGAATTTGGCCCAGTTCTGGTGCCACTGAGAAGTAACACCTCTCAGTGTCCAGGGAAGAAATAACACCTCTCTGGTCAGTGGCACAATGAGGATAAAATCTCTGGTTTGGATAGACATGAACTGTGATTCTTCAGAGTCAGATGTCAATCAGAGCAACCCCTTCTTTGCTGAATTCAGGGCTCCTAAATCTGGCATTGGCCCTTCTCTGTGGACAGTCTTTAATGACTGCAGGTGTAATTTCCTTTATTTCTTCACTGTGGTAATGTGGAGGGATGTTGCAGGAGGTCTATTGGGTTCCTGTCACTTTTCTCCAGTGAAAGTGCCCAATACAGCTTTCCAGGCTACATTTTAAGGTCAGGATGGTGACTGTGAATGTAAATACAAGAATATATTGCCTGTTAGGACTGACAGCTCTGATTTGTGTATCTGAGATATTAAATCCCTTGAAAGGGATCTACAACTACCTGAAAGGAGGTTGTAGCTATGTGGGGGTCAACCTTTTCTCCTATAGAACCAGTGATAGACAGTCTTAGACTGTGCCATGGTCTAGTTGACAAGGTGGTGTTCAGTCATAGGTTGGACTCAATGATCTCAGAAGTCTTTTCCAACCTAATTGATTTTGTGATTCTGTGAAGACCAGCTAAGAGGAAAACTAATTCTTAACTATGCTACAACCTGACTTTGTTTGGACTGAAGGTTGTAAAACTCTCAGCTCATTATATACTGGAGTAATTATATTTTTAGGTTGAATTTACTGTATGTAATCGTCTACAAGAAACTGGGATGGTTTTTGAAATGGTTTTACTGCTATTTGGAAGAGGTTCTAACCAGCATATAGGTACACTATCTTTTAATCCTTTGAATTTTGACAGCAAACCATCTCAGGCTTTTAGTTGAAGCTATAATTTGGATTCCTCGTTCAGATTTCCTGATATTGTGATGCTTTGGTTCTTGGTACATACTTGATATAACTTTAATTATGCTCTGAAGTGCTTCAAGTGACAAAGCTGTGAATATAAACCCATCCATGGTTTGAATTTTGCATTTACAGAATCCACTATTAATGACAAATTTTCTGGGTAAGTACTTATCTCAAAGAAGATTTCCAAAGTGAGCCTGTTTTTGTGCTAAAGGTACTTGCTTTTCCAGTCAGTGTGAGTATACGTATCTGTGGTTTTTCCAGAGGCAGGGAAGCAGCGAGCCTGAAGGCAGCCTGTGAGGCGCTTTTCCCACTAGATGGCAGAAGATACTTTGGACCAGAATATTTAGCAATTTGAACAACATACGGAATTACTGGACTGGTATACTATGTTTTGGCCACAAGTACAGAGATTTTATTTACTACAAGTTTATCTGGTCATACGTTGTCCAGATTCTTTCGAGTATGCAGCCCCACTCTTTCCCTCTACAAATAAAGCAAGTAAATTAGTAAGTAAAAAAGTAAATTAGTGCATTTAAATTGCAAGGGTTTGATTGCAAAAATTACTTGCTGCTTACGTGGCATTGAAATCAGAAATGCTTATAGAAATTTCTGTATAAAAAATCTAATTAAACCAAGGTTCAAAAGTGCAATGAAACTGATGCAAATACTATTGTGTAAAATGTTCCCATTATAATATGTATCATGTTTTGAGACTGTATATATAATATAATATTTGTATTTAAGTGCTTTGTTTTGGGTAACATATTGAGTTGATAAATTTTTTACTTTGTTATAGTTTTCACTAACATTTACATGGATATTCAGTTTAATGTTCTTTAGGTACAGCACCGTGACAAGACTATAATTCTTGTTTTGCCAGCTCCTCCTAGAGCATTTGCAGCTCCAGCAGCAGGAATCTTCATGGAATAATGCAGCAAATGTGCACTGCACATATACATAGATACAGAAATCTCCCTCTCTCTCATACACATGCATTTATGTAAATATGGATCTGTGCTTTGACTTATTTTTTCCATTAGTCTTTCTCTAAGCATCAGACTAACTCCACAGCTGATAATGCAATTGTTTACTGTGAATGCTTTTCATACAAATTTGGCTTCAATATCATCTGCAGGCTGGAAATACTGAAGAACCCAGCTACCTCAGGCTGAAGGTGATAGAATGTATTCTGAAAAGGTCAGTGGAAAGCAAAAGGGTATAAAAGACCTTAATGCCAGCTAAACTTTTTTTTATTGTTTTATATCCATGGAACAGATGAACTTCTGAGTGTCAGTAGAAAGTTTCCAAGCATAAAAATACTTGGACCTCAGTTTGCTTTAATTAACTGTTAGTTAACTTCCCCTTGTGACTTAAAAAAATGTCCTAGATATTATGTAAATTATTTATTATTGAATTAGTTGAATCACCCATGGTTTTAATATTGCCAGTTTAAACCCACATTTTTTACCCCATTATTATTTTCTGAACTGTAAGACTTTTTTCAGGGTACTATTTTATATACTGGCTGTGCCTCAGGATGAAATTTTATTTTTGGCTGAGAAGGCTCAGGAAAATAGATTATTTGTTCCGTGTTTTTTAAAAATAAAATCTGGGATCTGTTTTTTGAATGAGTCTTGCTGTCTGGTGCTCTTGAATAAGGGGTTTGAAATTCTAGTGAGGAGGAGCTGGTAAGGAAAGGCATTTTGGAATCAGAATGTGACCTTTGCTACTCGCAGGAGTCTGTCACAGGCCTTTGCAAAACCTTTCTTGCACATACCATATAATGCATGGTTTTTCTGGGTGAATGTGTTCAGGAAACACATTTGCACATCCCAGGTCCGCCAGGAAGGGCACACAGCACCCCCACAGCATGAGTGAACACTCTGCCCTCTGACCATGGGACCGTGGCCAGAGACAGGAAAGGATCAGGCTGGATTCATCACTCCCCATTTCATGCATCTCTGTCAGCCACTGCGTGCTGCTCCCTGCACAGGCTTTCTTAGGCACAATACATGTTCTGTCTTTTAAAGTCTGCTGCCAGTGGGTGGGGTAACCCAGCTCAGATGTATATATTTCTAATCTGGATGAATCTGATCTAATGACTCCAGTGAGAGAACTGGATATGCAGTACTGCAGAAGGAAAACTGCTGGAATTTAACTATGCTGTTTTCTCTCTAGCTTATTTTGAGTCTTAGAAGGAGACTGTGTTCTTGCAAGAACTGTCTCACATACAATGTTAGTACCCTCACACTACCCTGAAAATTCTAAATTCTTGGATTGCATATGAAATAGCAAAACACAAATTATTTTTTGAAGGATACTCTTCCTTCTGTTGTGTAGTTTGAGGATGTCCATTGTATTACTTTTAACTACTGAAATGATATGCTGATAAAGCAAATTATTTTGTAAGTTGTTGGAATTTACCCTTTATTTTGGATTTTGGTTTTATGCTGTTTTTTCTTAATCCTTTCATCAGGGAGAAAACATAAGTGTTAAACTTGTTTCCCTTAAGTCTCTTGTAGAAACATTGTGATGTCAACTGTATTTCTTAAGTGAGCTCAACATTGCTTTCTCTGCTACCACTTTCAGCTACTATTTCACAAATCATGCATCTCAAGAAACAATTATTGCATAAATATCTTAACAACACTGTGTAGAAGTCAGCCTAACCACAGCATCTCATAGAGACCAGTTAGGCTAAATAAACGTATTTTATTCCTGGAAGAAGATTCTCTGGACAATGTAAGGCTATTTCTCTCTACATTGCTTAAGGGGGCTATTTCAGTGAGGTCTGTCACACAGAATGGCATCCATGTCAAGAAATATTCTTTGTGTATGAGAAGCTGTTTTAATATATATAAATAATTTTGTTGAAAATATTGCCTAGGTGTTGGTTTTGTTTTTTCCTAGTTTTCTATTTGTAAACATAAAACAGAAGGCATATGTTCATCAAAGGGAAATTCCTTCTGTGAAACAACATTTCCAACTGATCAGGTATCCATTACAGTTCTGGGCAGATTAGCAGACAGTAATACTAATTTGGGGTTGTGGTTCTAAGTAGATTTTAATGCTCTTGCTGATATCATATAAATATTCCAAGAATACTTACATTTAAAACCAGTTAAAAAATCAAGTATGTGGCTTGGGGGTATATTTGTGTCTATATTCCCTTTGTTGTAGCTGTAAAAGATAACACAGCACTACTTTAAATATATGTTTCCTGTTGCCCATAAAAATCTTGGCTCTTAGTTTGCTTTCATGTTAGCAGAAGAGATTAGTTCCAAACAACATTAAGAATCAAAGAAACTCAGCAAATTGAGGTGCCTTGAAATATCTGTCAAATAAAACCAATATAATGGGTTGTTTGGTCTTGATAGTGAAACAAAACAACACAAAACAAAACAACATCCCATGTCTGCTAAAATTTCAGTACAGTGCGGGAATGGAGGTCAGAGCTTCCTCAATATGAAAAGGAATCCTGTTACGGGGATAAGTAATCAACCACCTGGGAGAATATAAAACTAAAATGAGAGGTGTCCACGGAGACACAGCAGTGCTGCCAAGTTAGAGATTTAAATCCAAATAAAATATTACAGTAGTCTCAGGTGATAGCATCCATAGAAGTTTGGACCTCATTAGGGGAATTGAAAAGCTTAGAGCTGTTTCCAGTAATAACACTCAATTTAGTTGGTTAAATTAAAGCCAAACTAATCTCCTTTCCATGAAGTGTTTGAACAAGTTGTAGAAAACTCCCCCATCAGTTTTCTTGTAGGAGAAAGAAATCTCATATAAATAGTGCTGCAAGACTGAAAAACTCTTTGCAGCAACCTGGCAATTCCCATTTACACTTTGGTGTGGTCCTATCTCTTCATCTGTTAAACAAATCTAGAGACCTTGTTGTTTCATCCTTCATCAGATCTCATAAAATGAAGCTTCTGGGGAGTGTTGGGGTTCACAAGTGTTAGCTTCCATAAAGAAAGTGGTGAGTTCATGATTTCAACAGAAGCTGGTGGAATTTGGTTTGAAGGAACTGAAATAGAGTTTTCCTATTCATGTGGCATTCCCTGTGTTTTTTTCATTTAGACCTCAACTGCTTATAAAGATTCTTAGTAAACATTTAACTAGCCAGAGTAAAAGTGAAGAGATGGCTTTAAAGGAACTGTTGAAGTAAGGAACAGAACATGTTTGATACATTAGAAATCAGAATTAAACTGAAAACTCAAGCAAACTAAGGAAAAGCTATCTATCTTCATAATTCAAGATACAGCAATTACAGAAAATGACTATGTACATACAGTGTATGTGAATGTCCTTTGGCAAAGCCTTTTCTATGAGCCAAACTGACGACATGATAGTAAAATTACAAATTTAAAATTTGTATTGGTGATTACACTTAGTCATTTTTGGTCTACCGCACCTTTAACAGTACTAGTGCCTCTTATCTTTTGCATTTTTCCATTTTTCCATGACACTTCTGAATCAAGTGTCAGTGGTACAGCAAATTTGTTTTTTACCACTTCCCTTGGCATTTTTGAATATATATACAGCCAGACTGAATAAGTTGTCTGTGTCTAGATTTACCAGATATTTAACTAAAATTGGGGAACTACAGCAAATGCTGTAGTGATATCATCAGGATAATTATCTGTGGACATCATGACAAAATTACCTTGTTTTGTACACAGATTATTAGTAAGTGCTTATAATGAAGTCTTTAAACACATTACGTCTGTTGCCATTTTTTTTTACTTACTGTGTTCTTAAACTTATCCTGGATCCAATAAAGTGCTTAAGAGGAATTTGCCTCAGTGAATTTTAGCATGTGTTTAAAAGTTAGCATATGCTGGACAGCTTTGTTGAACTGGACATCTTGGTTGTATCCTATGATTTATCATGCTTTTATTATGCTAAGTTTCTCATGCTTGTCACCTTTTCTTTCACAGCTTAGGTAATTTCTTACTTTAAAAATTCACTTTCCTTTTGATAAGTTGTGAAGAATGTCACTTTTCAAAGCAAAAGGTTTCCTATGGAAGCTGCGTACAGCAGGGATGAGAAATAAAATATGAGAAAATCAATGAGATCTGTTGAGTCAACTACACTGAAATCAAGAAACTGCTTTTCTATCTTCTTAGATAAGGAGGCATGTTACTACAAACTCTTGATCCTTCAGTGTGCTGCTATCATTGTATCAAAAACTTCAGTGTGGTCCATTCAAAGCTTTTTATATGGCTTTGAGAAGATGCTGAATGTCTTCAGGGATGAGCTTAGAGTAACAGAAGCCTACAGAAAGGAAGACATTGCACCACAAATGGATCCAGACACCCACGGTATTCTTGAGCAAGTTATGGTTACTTTTCATAGGAGAAATAAAAGATTGCATTGAATGGGTGCTTGACACTGACCTATTCAAGTCACTATTGCTCTGCATCTGTCTACAGTTTAGGTAGACTATGCTGATGATGAGGGAAAAGCTGTTGCCTTTAACTTGCAAAACTTCAGCTTGACATCAATATTGCAGGTATGGTCATGCAGCCACTGGATATACCAGTGATTTCTGAAAAAACCCTGAGTTTCTGCTTCAGTCACAAATGGGAAAAGAATGTGGGAATGTGCTGGATGGGTTGGACTTAGCAGCCTGGGGTGTGAAAGGAGCAGAAGGGCTCATTCCCAGGCCATGAATATTTCTTTGCTGGCTGACCCAGGCAGAGCATGACAAGGGTACTGTTAGTAATACCCAAGTCTTTTTAGACCCACATGTGTCCAAAATGCCTTAATAACTTGAACAGCTATAGAGAATAAATTAATTAGCAGCCTCATTTAAAAAATAAAATAGTGAAGAACAATGCTAAAAAGTTCAAAGGGTAAGCTGATATTCCATTGAAATATACCCTAATTTTTGCAACAGTTGAGGCCATTTATGATCTTCAAAATAGCTTGTGTTAATCTCAGTTAACACAATATAGCCTTAAAGACACAATGATGCTGTGTTTTTGATTCAGTAGGGTGTTGTTTGGCCACAAAAAAATTCCATTACTTTTTCAGTTTCCCTTATTAAAGTCTCTTTTTGCCCTTTACTAAGGCTGCTGGTACACAAATTGAGGTACCATGAGGTAATAAAATAAATTTCTTTCTAGGAAACAATTGATTCAAAGTCTTCTTAAAGACTCAGTCTAGATAAAAATTACTAAAATTAAACTGTGCTTACATAAAAGCTACCCTGAAAAAAAGCCCAAGATAGCCTGGATATCTCTCTTGTTCAGACAAAATTCAATGGAATCTGTGTTTTTGTATGGAATGCACACTTGGACCCCAAATAATCACAAAATTATAACGTGATTTCATTTTATTCCTGAAATTGCTAGTCAAAGGAATAGATTATATGTATGAATCATGTGCCTATGGAATACGGTGCATTGTGAAACTAACTTCTCATTTATGCTCTATTCCTATTGTATATAGAGTCTAGAATGTTTTGGATTTTTTTTTAATAACCGTGTATAGCTCTCTTAAACTGTGTGAGTCTCTTTGGAATATAAGCCTGTTTATTTTATTGTGCTCTGTTTAGTTATTCTAAAAAAGAGTTACAGACACATAATTGTAGCCATCTGTTGTGTTTTAAGTCCAATCTAGCCCAAAAGTCAAAAAAGTCATGGCAACAACTTATAAAAACAAAGGCAATAATATGAACTCACTATGGTTACTGGTGAACCTTTATTTCTCCTTTCAAATGAAGTAAGTTTCCTGAGAGAATTATTTTAATGTTTGATTTATTTCTTTATTAAATATGCCCACAGTATGACTGGTTTCCCTATCAAGATTGTCATATAGCTGTCTCCTTTATTGTAAATCTGTCTTTCTCCAAAAACATGAGTTCTCTTATGATAAAAAATTAAGCTCTGAGTGAAACCCCAGTGCTTGTCATATATTACTTGAGCATAAACCAGCAAGCAGGATTAAGATTGATTAAGAAAATTTATTAGTAGCAATGAATAATATTTATCATATAATATATTTAACCCATACTCTGATAGATTTAAAATTCATTATTTATACATTTTAGATATTTGATGTATTAGGTTTAATAATTCACTGAGATATTTATTAAATAGTTTCTGCAATTAACTTTATCAAAATGTCAGCAACTTTTATGAGACATTGTTAATTTTCAGGATTATTCTGTCTTCTAGCCATGGATTTGTAAGTGTATCACAGTTATTTCAGCTAGGAGTGATGCATTGGTACTTGCACAGTGAACAGTAAATGGCACACGTGTGATGAAAATGACTTGTACCTGTATTGGATAGGTCAGATAGATGTTTTTTGCTACTGCAGATTGTTGACATGGTATATTCCATCAATTCTGTTTTCTCTATATGTATGGAAAAATCCCATGGTAGATATATCCACGTACAACTATCGTTACTGAATAATGCACACACCTGGCTCCTGTTAAAGAGAAAGGCTGGAGTGTTTGGGGGCCAGTGCTGTCCTTTAAGGAGAACTACACACTACAGAATTCTAGTGGCTTGTAATTTCTTGAGAAGGATGAAGATGGCTGAGGAATGAAATGCATCCTGGCTAGACCCATTCCTCTCTTTTGACTGTGAAGAGCCTACCTTCATGTTTGCTATTAGGCAGGAGGGGTAAAAAGTCCCAGCCACCGCAAGAGAGATGGTGGCCCAATGACAAATGGCTGGCTGTCCTACAAAGGTCCCTAATAGTCACCAACTGGGAACTAGGTTGTTTCTGTCAAACCAAAGTGGGCACTGGAACAGTGAAGCTAAGATGAAAAATAACAGATCAGTTTCCAATTGTTCAAGCCATTTTATGGGAAATAAATTAAATAATGGACATTTTGGGGATTATTTTATTTGGGAAGTAATAATCTAAATAAAATGAGAGGCAGTTTACAATGCTGTAGATTGGAGGTGAAATAAGTGTAAATGAAAGTGTCTGTGCAAACTCCACTCACAAGCATAAATGTAATGTAAAAGTGAACTGTTATTTTTTCACTTCTCATTCATTGAGTTAATTGTGTGTGGATATCTGTGCTTTTACACTTGATTCTTTAGTTAAATATGCTTAATGAGCATGGAAATGAACCACTCCCATTGGTGTTAGCTTCATACTACCATTAAAAGGGATGGTGGAGACCTACTATTTTTTTTTTTTCAAAGGTGTACATTAATATTAGTTTGTAACCTAAAGATGGCATATTTGCAGCATGATGGTAACCATAAAGCTTTGGTCCATAACATGAATTCTGTTTTTTGTATTTCCTTAAAAACTTACACTGAACAATTCCTGTGTGTTTCCTTGAACTACAGAGAAGAAATTTCTATAAAATATAATCTCTTCAGGAGCTTTTTTTTGCTGTCCTGCTTTTGATTTTGACAGACTTTTGGTTCTCTCCTATTCTATGGATTTTCCCATCCATTTTATCCATTTTCCATTTTATCATTAACTCTTTTTTGTGTATGCATTTGTTCATCCATAACTGTCTTTTAAGTTCTAATGACCAAAGTTTTCTGGTTTGATGCATTCCTCTTATTACCTTTTATCAAATAACACAGTAATTTAAAGTAATATTTTCTGTCATCCATACAAGGAATTAATTTCTTTACTATGCCAGGCTGGAATCTGATCAGCAGCACTATTGGTAGCCTCTCTCAGGCATCACCCACAGACAGCTGGGGCTACCTGCAACAGGTCCTGATTTTATGGATTTTGTGTCATCTATAGCAGGTAAGAGGAATAATTTTATGAAAAGCAAAGACCTTAGGACATTTCCAGTATTCATCCCAGGAAACTGAAATGCTGCTGACACCAACCTAAATGCAAGTGGAATGGCTTGGGATGGCTTAAAAAAATGTTATTTCTTTAAAAATTAGTACTCCTGAAGACTAGAGGCTTAAGTTTCTAATCAGAGATCTCATCTGTTAAGCAGGTGGCTGTACAAAACCATTTGAAAAGTATTAGTAGGATTAAAATATTGCAGTTGTGTGTTGCGGTGCTTGGAATGTCAGTTTGCTCTAAACCACTCTCCCCCATTTCATCTCTTTCAGTCTCTGGTTAATATTAATCCGAGCAAATAGTGCAAACATTCTGGGTGTGATGGAACAAGGCATAAAAGCGTGTTCATAATTTGAAGTATTTGAGTTATCCTTTCAACTGATAAGCAAATGATTGAGTGCTCTGCTGGAAGGGGGCCAGAGTACATTTTGCTGCTGATTAGAATGAGTTTGCACATGTGCTGTAGCGCACACCTTTATATCCAACTGCACCCCCGCGAAGGATGGGGTTGCTACATTGTGGGCAGGACTGTCAATGCGTTACAGAGCCAGACAGCTACCCTTCAGTACTGCACAAAAACAAACAAACAAACCAACAAAAGGTAAGACTCCTGTTCTGTGAGTGAATTAAGAAAACAGGCCCGTTTCCACCGTTCAAATGAAGGGAAAATCTCTCACTGACTTAATTGGGTGCACTGCCTGACTAAAGGCTGCATGATTTGGCCGACATTTCCAATCATACCAATGCTATGACAGAAGTTGCCAGAACAATTCCAGCTGAGAAGGAGTCATGCTCCACACTGCATTCAGAGAACAAATGGAAGATGACTGCAGAACCTGAAAATGAATTCACAACTGCTAATAATAGCACATAATCCTGTTGTTCAACTCCTGTTGAGCTCTGAGATTAATGACCCTTATATTTACACATGAGATAGAAGAGGTTTCCTGTCAGGTGAAAAAAATTAAGCTTTTGCTCTTAGCTCTTGTTTATTTTGTATAGAAAACACTGTTTTGACAAATCCTGTAAAAATAGTATTGTATTTCCAATAAAAAATCCTTAATCTTCTATTTTTTTAAAATGTTTATTCCTGTTTTTGATATCTGGAGGCAGAGATTAGGTTCATTAGTTTCCTATTTGTGTATCATTCTTGGGAGACTGATACCTGGTGATAATTCTGGTTTTGTAGCAATGACTCCTAATAGATTTTTTAACTATCTCCTTCTTGAGCAGCCTAAATCTTGACGATAACTCAGGTTCATATTGCAAGATGCTTCAAGAGAAAAATCTGTTGATGTTCATGAACTTCTTCATGTAGCTGTCTTCCTCTTGACCACAGAAAAGACAATTATACATTATTTGCTTTTCTAATGCACCTCTTTTTCTGTAAGTTTGGTTTCTGAAATACATGCATTTTTTCAAATTTTTTTTGGTTGCTTTTAAAAGGGTGTATTAGCTTCCCTTCTATGCCACAAAATAAAGTGCTGCAGTCAAATACATACTCCTAGGAGATGGTTTCCACTTGTTTTTGCTTTCACCTTTGTAGGCATCCTTTTCTGGGAATTAGAAAAAGTTTCCCTATAAAACATGTGGAATTGATAAACATGATATCAAGGCAATCAGTCTAGTCAGTTTGGATAAAGGAGTCAGATCATGGGGCTGAGTTAAAAAAAAACAGACCTTTTTCATTGTCACATGCAGTCTGTCTATTGGTCCCTCTCATTTCCTGCATGATGAAATATTGCTTGAGCTGTGTTTGGAGAATCAGATGAAAAGGTCTTTTAACATATGACCAAGCAGAGAAAAAATTATGGAACTGAACCTACATTATCACATTATCTATGATCACTTACTGCAATAATACTTCATTAGCAGTCCTCAAATATACTGTCTTTTCTGAAGTCCTGTGGTCATACCCACCCTGATTCCCTGCTCTCAGCTCCATAACACTGCTTGGAAGATGCTGGAGGCCTCTATTGCTGAGCTTCCCTGGACAAGGTTGCTCCTTCCCTTGTATAGTATCAGCTGAACTGGATCTTGCTTGACATCTCACCTTGCAGCCTTCCCTCTTTCTCTTGATCAAAAGCAGGGTGCATGTCAGAAAATGATCCACCAGTGCACCAAATAGACTTTCCTTTTCCTTGGAACCTCACTGGACCTTGGATAAATGTGGGCTTTCTAGGCTCAGACTCCAGCCTTTCCAGTCATCCCACAGATTTTCACTTGCTCATCAGTTCATTTGACTGAACATTATCACTGAAACATATTTTACAGCTTTTATCCCCTCACACAATTAAAATCAATGTCTCCTAATAAATAGCTGGTGAGGAGGGATTTTTAAGATATTTGATTTCTCAAATACAAATGTTTGAGAAAGGCCTGTGTTATAATTTCTGTGTACTTTTTATGAATTTTCTTGCTGTCCATTTCTTCCTTCACTTTGGATTTGTTCTCCAAGGACACAAAATAATAAATAAAAACTTTTTTTCAATTTTTAGTCTGGCCATAATTTTAAGTCTTTGATAATGTGATGCTGATAAGTGCTTCAGGATCCAAAAGAAAATCATAAGACTTTTTTTCCTCTTTTCTAGATATTTTTTTTTCCTCCCATAACATGTAGTGGCAGATTACATCCTATGCTCTTTTTCCTGTGCTCCACTTGGAAGATCTGAAAGCAGCAAGGACCTTGTTGAAGGTCCTCTTGGCAGGAGGCAAACTTCTGTAGGAGGAAGCAGAGAGAGATCTGCTGGTAAGGCTGACTCCTTTGTCTCTTTTCTTAGTCTGCAAGTATGTTGGAGAAAACAAAGGAAGTGACATAATTAACTTTGATAATCTCTCTGGTTGCTAGACAGTCCTGGAGGAAAATGACTGAGCAGTGTTAGTTAGAATTACATTGTTCCAAGGCCAAACAGAGAGAAAGAAAGGGACTCTGAGCAATGCTTTTAGCTGAGTCTGCTGTACTCAGTGCCAGTCAGGCATAGAAAAAAAACAAAAAAAAACAATTTGAGAAAAATATTCTATTTGCTCTGAACTGTTTCTATTCATACACTGTTTCCAGTTAAAAATGCTTCTGTAAATCTCATCTCATCTTGTATCTGTGCCTGTTAAACCATAGCATATTAAATTGCACATGGGCTGGTGTGACCTACTTAATTTTGTGCATATCAAGGTCCTTCTCTGAACATCTAATTACCTACTGTCA